AAACCGATTAGGAAAGGCCTATTAGCCAAAACGGCTATCATATTCGGAATCAGCATGATCGATTACCTATAAGCTACCGCATTTCGTTAGAAAAGCGATTTGACAGTTGGATATGTTCCCTCGTGAGATATCGAATCGGTTATTGTTTTGAATAAGGCAGCTCTTTGTGCAGAATAGAAGGGACAATCAAGTAAATAATGTTTATTAGTCTCTTTTTGCCCACAAGCACAATTTTTATCAGTGACTAACTTTTTTGTAAATAGGTCGTTATTTAAAGAAGAGTAGTCACATCTCATTTGATGATAAATTTTGTCGTACTTCCTAGGTATACTGTGGATCCTAAAACCACTTCCTGTCTGATTTAGACTTTTTAATCTTTCTCTGAAAGATTTCAGTGTTATACATAAACGTAGTTCCTCATCTAATTTATTCTAACTAGAAACAACATGAGGAAAGAATGAATTTTGAAAGCGTTTTGATTCAAATTTTTTTCGATTAGAAATAGGATCAATTATGTTCCAGTCGGATGTCAGCATGTTGACTGCTTGAGATCTCAAAGGGTAGTTTGTATTTTCGCTTCGAAAAGAAATTTTATTATTTTTATTTATCATTATTTCTCAAATTTGCTGCAATACTTCGGAAAATGTTCAAAAATTCATTTTCATTTTGTAGAGCATGTTCTTGTAATACTGTTTGTTCTTCAAGAATTTCAATCACTTTAACATCTGATTTATTGACAACTTCGTTGGCCGCATCCATTTTTTCCATCATTTCTTTCATCATGTTTAGTCTAAATAAAATTACAAAACACCGTATTAATCAAACTACACGATCAATTGTGTGTATTCATTTTTTTATTGCCAAATAACGGATATGGTCCTCATCGAATCAGGGATACGTTGCTGATTACGAAAATGAAAATTATTTTAGTTGGAAATTGAACCTCGGCTGGCAGATCGAAAAATGAGGATCAATAAATCAATGTTTTACGGTTGCTATCAGTGCTTTAAACGTTCAGAAACAGGATTTTATTTCTTTGAACGATAAATAATTATATTTTAAAATAGGGCACGACTTTATCTTACTAAAAACGTAAAATGCACTGCTAAGAATGCATCAAGTAGTATGTTGCTAGGGGACTTTCTACACTAATATTCACCTAATGTCAACGGGCTTTTTCTTTTTCAAATTTGAACGATTTTTTCCTGTTGTTGTTGCTTCTTTCAGGCTCGCTGCTGGTCGTTCAATCATTATTGGAGATGTTGATTGTGTGATGGCACTACTGGTTTGTGTGGACGACCCTAGAGACGCAGTGACAAAAGTTACAAAGCATCTTATTAAAAATAACTGAAGTGTTTTTGCAAACAATTACATATTTGACTTAAAATATTGAAATAATATCGGATGTATACAAACGAATATTTAGGTTTTAAAACATAACTCACTGCTAGATAGCTCTTGAAAGCCTTTGTAAATACGAAGTTTTATAATGCTCATTCTTTCGGTTAGGCGGCACTTTCTGCAAGGCCAAATTTTGAGTATAAAGACGTTTCCTTTCTTGGTTACGTACTCCTTTTCAAAAAAGCATCCTAGAAATATCATATACGGCCAAACCAAGTTCATTTTTGCAGTATTTTGTAGCAAGCGGATTTCTCTTTCTACGTGGAGTTCAGATAAAGCGATTCAGTTGAATGAAGAAGCTGAACACTGCCAGGAAGACTGTTTTTGTTGTAGCAACTGAAACAGGCCATTGTTATTAGGCACAAGTAGATTGTGATCAAATGCTTACAAATAATTCTGAAAGAGCATTTGATATTCAATCGTATTACAAATAATTCGATTATATAATTAGGTACCTACTTATAACTTGAAAAAATCGAAAAAAATCATAGTAAAATGTGTGGGAAGTAGATGCAAATCATATCATCACACTATGTGACCTATAAAAGTGTTCAATTCCATTATTTTAAATTCAGGTAAATAGAAGTTTGTAGAGAATTGAATTGCGCATCTTTTAAAAGAATTGAAGATTTTATTATTTTTCTGTACCGAGATATATGCAAAATAAAAAATGTCTCAAATATTTTGGGATATCCGGTATAACAGCAAAACTTTTTTGTTCATCATTAACAGCCTCAGCAAGCTCCACCTTACCATTTTTTAATTCATGCATTTGTTTAAACAATGTTCATAATTCATGTTGTTCAACCTCTGATTCACCATAACTTGTAAATTCCTTTTCATTAGGTACTTTCTCATCAATTTCGGTTAACAAGCTCATGCTGTCTGACATCAAAGAATCATTATTAAAAGGACGTTCACCTAGAATTTGAGGAGTAAACAAAAAGAGTTTATGGAAATTTTTAGGCATTCCTGCCTGTTTTCATGCGGATTCTCTCTGAAAAAGCAGTATAATTCCTTAGGAGAAAATATCATTCGTTTTCAAAATTACCGATTATGCGATCGACAGCGTCAAAATATTTCCAGGAAACGGGGCTGGTCCCAGTAATTCCCTGCTACTGTTATTTTTTCTGTATTCAGAAACTAAATTTGTTATTTTGTGTTTGATATCATCAACCGATAACGATCGTCCCGGAATCAAATCTTTTAAAGAATTTATCATATCCAGATACACTGGATTATTTCTTTTTGTTTTATCAAACATTAAACGATTGTAATATTCTTCCCACGTTGATATTAAGCACAATGTTTCTTCATCGGTCCGGTTTTTAGGACTGTGTTTTATCTGAACACATAGAAAGAAAACGACATTTAGAACATTTAGCAAAAAACAAGCATCACGCAATCGCGACCTAAAAACATCTTTTAGTTTTTAGACCATTTCCTCAACTAACACATTTTACTTTTAATTATTGTCCAGTTGCACAACAAAAGGTCGTGTCCAAGCCCGATTTTGAGACACTTAGTCATTTGCCTGAAATGCTCACAAACTGACTCTAAATTTCCCGTAAAGGCGATTACGTAATGCTTGTATCAAGATTTTATCATATTTTCGCACTCGAAACATCTTCTGCAGTTTCATCTTTTATTTTTATTTTTTTTGCATTTATTGGTTCAGATGCATTCGTTACTGCTATTGTCGATGATGTACTTGGTTGTGAGAAAGACGGCTGACGATTTTCATCGATTTTTCACGCGAGGTTTATGCATACTCTTCTCGGTGGCACTAAAAACATTGACTGCGATGATGGTTGAACGAGACGTATTACTTTCAGCGGCCCTAAACACGAAAACAAACACGATCACAAAGCATCAGTGTGAAAAGAATCAGAAATTCTAGGAAACAAAACATTTATCTAAATAACAGGCTCCAAAAAAGATAATGTTTAAATAATAAAGCAAAATGGCGTATTTCTGCAAGCTGTTTTGGAAATCTAGAATTACCATTTGTTGTTTGTAGTTTTGTTGTCAGAGCACCAACATTTGCTCTTGTTTGATCACCGAAACCTTTATCTTCTCCTAAAAAGTGGAACACACAGCATCGAAGACTTAAAAGCGCTGGTTACTGAGAAATTAACTTTTTCCTAAATTCATTTTATTTTGTTTCTTATAGAGTTATGTTAAATTATACTGGTTTTCTATAGCGTTATATTAGATTATACTGTTTCCTTAAACAATTGAAATCAAACTATATGTGCCAGACTGCTCTTTGTTCTGTGAAACAAAGCCCAAAACAGAACAAAGCAGATTCTATCATAATCTTATTACATGCTGTTCAGCTGCCGCGCAACGATAGAGAAAAATTAATGGAATTCAACTGCCTAAAGATTACGAACAATGAACTCGTTTTTCTATTAGGAATTGATTAAAGGGCACTTCCCAACACAGATTTTAAATCTATTTTACGTTGTCACCGTTGTCAAAGGCTTGAGCAAGTTTTTCATTGGTTTTCAAGCGTGAGTTACTATTGGTGCCTTAACTTTAAGTGATGTTTTCGACATCACTTAACTTCTCCCTTAACTTTCAGCCAATAGAACTGCTTAATGCTCCATTATCTTTTGTAGTGTAGACGAGGCGTTATCTAGTTGTACCCTACTGTGTCGTGAGTCTGGATTCTGACTGACTCTCTGCTGACTCTTGTTTATTTTGTAAGAACTACAAGACAAAAGAAGGAGCACACAATATACATTCATTCGAAATTATAGTTTAGAAGTGATTGCGAGGGTGCAGGTTCTTTTTGACGTCGAGAGTTTTGATGCCAGTGTTTTTGAAAACCGTCGAAAGAATGACGAGTGTTACCAATAAAACAGCAGAGCAGGCCTGTTTAAAAGAGAGTTTCTTGCTATTGAGTTCTTATTTTAATATTATAAAACGTCCGCTATTTCTTTTAGAAAGCTTATTTGCATCTTAAGTTGTCCGTTATCTCTTCGCGTCATTTATTACGCGTCTTTTATTACGTTTCGAGATCAACCGCAAGATCGCTATTGAGGTTTCTGTTATTGTCAAGTGTGTAGTGATCACTTTACTAAGAACCTGCATTTTGTTTTTTTAATCTAATGATGTTTTTTCTCTATATTTCAGATTATTATTATTGAATAACGTTTTTTTTTTTGTTTTCGACATCATTAGCAGATCTTTAGATAAGTACCAGTTGTCAGAGTTTTCGATTAGGGGGGGAAGGGGGGAAATTTCCCCCCTCGTTTGAAACTCGGAGTAAGTGGTCTCCGAGTAAGTGATATCCGAGTAAATTTCGCCAAAAAAACATAAACCCAAAAC